ACATTTTGCCTGCCCTTAAACCAATTTCTAACACCGCTCCTACAAGAGACGACCCAAAACAATAACAAGAATGCATATTCGTTATTCCAATCAAGAAAATTCATTAAATATAAGAATGGTTGTCATTCAGCTGGCTTTAGAGGATATACAATTAACATCGTTCTCCTCTGTCTTGAAGGTGAGGAAGTCCATTTTGGATATATGGAACTTTTAGAGAGGTCCTAAATCTGCACTATTTGCCTATTAAGGGCATCTCCAATAAATTCTTTATTCTCGATCAATTCTCTATTTTAGAGAGTCAACTATCAAAAATCAAGTTCTAATAATTTTTTTTATTTAAACTAACTAAAATAGAAAACCTTATTTGACTCGAGGTTTTCCCCAAATCCAGTCCCCCATAAATCTTAATTACAAAATTTAGTTAATTTTAAACTTATTTCTCAAATCCAATTTTTTTTAAAAAGATTATTTGAAATGACGTTTTTAGATGATAAAACGTCATTTAGAATGATGATTTAAAGTTGAAACTTTTTTCGTAAAAACGTCATTCTTAATGACGTTTTTAAAGTCGTCATTTATAATAACATTTTTAAACATTAATTTTTAAATGGTCCCTAAAAGACGTTAAAAAATAAAAAGGGTCAAAACGTCATTTACAATGACGTTTTATGCCATATTGACGTTTTCTGTGCCTTTATTAATAATGGCGTTTTCTACCCTTTTATTTACAATAAAGTTTTAAAAATGTCTTCTTAGCCTTTTAAAATGATTTTTTATTAGCCAAAAGTCTCCAACCTACTTATAATAAATTTCATAAAAGCTAATTACTCCACCTAATTTCTCACATCATGATTCACTGGACAACAACAAAAAAATTAAATAAATTTTAGAATTTAATTATGTTTTCATAATAATTTTGAACTTATTTTATAATCAAAAATAAAATTCATAAAAGCATAATTTAAAGAGAGAATGATAGTACATATTAAACCCAACTATTAAAATTTCAAAAGCATTTTAGCTTTAAACAAGCCAACATGAATTTGATTCATTTCACCAACTAGTTAAGTAGTTATTCTTCAATAGCAATTCTTCCTCACAACATCACAAATAGAGGAGACTTGAAGCTTTATATATGATGATCATATACCTCAAAAAAAAAAAGAAGCAAAAATACCACTCATTTCTTGTACATTTTCTTTGAAGCGTTCCAGCTGAACATGAAGCCTAACTGCCAAAAGAGATGTCCTGGAATTAAATGCAGCTTCCATAATACAACTGCCTAAGAGTCTAACTGAAGAAGAAAGTCTACTGCACAAAAGAGCCCAGTCAAACAAGAAGTCCAGTAGCAAGGATGACGTGAACAGTGAAAGAAAAGTCTCGTAGTCCACAAACCAGTCCAGCTGCAGTTCTAGATGAACAGTAATGTGAACAGTGAGAAAGAGATGAACCAGCCCAGCTCATAAAGCCTTTTGCGCCTTTCCGTCCAAAGCTGCCAATATATAATCAATGGCAAACCTCTCATTAAGGTGTGAAAGAGAGATGAATGCTTGAAAATTCTAACAATCCTCATAAATCCTATAAATGGAGGTTTGTTAGTTATAAGCTGAAAACCCAACAGAGCCGAAAACTTCTTCCAAATAAAAGCAGAAAATTTACAGGAGATAAAGATATGGTCCTCTGAATCCACTTCTGAACAACATAGGGCACATCTACTTGCTAGATTAATTCCTATTGCTTGATATGTAGAGTTCATATGTGTATATAACGTTTGTGAATTAACCAAATACTTTTTTTGTCCTTTTCATTTTCTAGCTTATGAATACTTATCTATGATCAATAATTGATATTAGAAGATTGTAATTAGAATTTAGTCCTTAATTAATAGCCAATTAATTGTTTTACAAAGTGGGGAGGTTCAAATTTTCACCTTCTGCCTCTAATCTCAAAACAATCAATTTAGAAATTATATTTTTACCCTCTAATCTTAAAAAAATTGTAGTGATATGAAGTCCTTAATATCATTCTCCTGAGGCTTGACAGATAGAATTAAGGTTGGGTATGGAGTCCATTTGGCCAATAAAACAAATTTTCTGCCTCTAAGTTGATTAAAAATTATTTTTAATTGACTCAAATCAAATTTTAATCAATTCACATTGAATTTTAATAGGCCCGAATTTTGATACATTAAAAAATGTAAATTTTAATCGACTTAAATTTAAATGAATCAAATTTTAACTAACATGAATTTTAATAAGTAAAAAAAATAAATTTTAATCAACTAAAAGTAAATTTTAATCGGCGCTAATAACTCAGGTAGAGTTCAAATCGACTCAAATTTTAATATTTAAAAAAATAATTTTAATAGACATGAATTTTAATACGTAAAAAAAATAAAATTTAATCAGCTCGAATCAAATTTTAATTGGCTCAAATTTTAATATGTAGACAAATAAATTTTAATGAACTCGAATTTTAATATGTAGAAAAATAAAGTTCAATCAACTCGAATTTTAAGTGAATTTTATGTAGAAAAATTGTTTAAGATTTATATAGGGATATTTTTAGTATTTTAAATGATTTTTTTTTGTTAGAAATGATGGTTTAATGACTGAGAATGTTAATGATATTTAAAAATAAACTAGAAGGGATGTTATTGATAGTTTTGATAACAGGTGAGGTGTCCTTAATAATATAATAAACTTGAGATTGTGACTATCATTAATTATCCTCAAAGTTATTTCAGGATCCCAAAGCTAATTAGATCTATGTCCATCCNAGATTGTGACTATCATTAATTATCCTCAAAGTTATTTCAGGATCCCAAAGCCAATTAGATCTATGTCCATCGAAAAAGGTGAATAGGAAGCTAACCATTATCATTACACATAAATTAACTACTTTGTTTTTGTAGGAGTAGACCCTAAAGTCTACCACACACAACCACCGGATAGGTCCATGACCCATCACAGTATACAAAAAGGACAATTAGCGGGGCACACAGCATTTAATAACCAAAAAGAGACATCTGCAGAAGTCTTCCCATTCTCATTCGAGGATTAATGCCTGGAATAGACCTTTATAGATTACACTCAAGTCCATGCCAAGGAACAGGATTGATAAGAATTTAATTAAATATGATACATATTAGATTAAATACTATGTATATAATATAAGTTCAATGCGATTCAAATACAACTATGTACAAACACTTAAAATAAATTTTCAGACAAGTGAATTTAATTTTGCAAGCAGTTCGATAGGAACTAAAAATTATTGAATAAAAGGGTCAAAACTCATTGATCAGAAAAGAGAGAAAAACAAAGCATTGCCATAACCATGTGAGAATAAATAATTTGATTATGAGGTTGGAAAAATTATATGTATATTGGTGAAATTAGTTGTAACTTTATTTTTAAAACTAATAACTTAAATTTTAAAAATTATAATTTTTAGGGTCAATTATACCATATATTTTACAGTTATAATAAATATCTCAAAAAATTAAAATTTAATCTTAAAAAAATTATATATTTTAATACAATAAGTACTGGAGTACCATAATATCTGTGCGAATTTGTTACAATATTATGACGTTTTATCAATGAAGTTTGATCACATCAGCATAATGCACGTCAGCAGTCCGCGAGAGAAAAGAGCCATGTGTAAATTACCATTTATTAATTACCAAATCGAACGGCCAGTTCTGTTACTCTGAGTCTCCACTACACATCAAATGGCCACCGGCAAGTATTGTTTCTTTATTGCTGTCAGCTGTCGGGTAGGTCCATCTTTAACACCCATGTTAACCCGAATTTAATGCGACATAATTCAAAAATTTATATAATTATTAAATTAATATATATATATATATATATATATATATATATATATATATATATATAATATCCAAAATAACCAAAGTAGACATTATAGTCCAGAGAGTCCTCCATTGATAGAAGGTACTTTCAGTCTTTTGTAGTGTTAATATTCTACATTAATCTCTTACAAAGATAAGACATTGTAATTAGAACAGATCAGTATGTTGTTCACCACTTGATGCATATATATTGCTAATATAGTTAGAATATGATAAAGTCGAAGACTAATTATTGTTAATATCATAGATTACATTGAAATCAATTGTTCGGTCTCGATTTTTTACAAATGTGATAACAATATCTACAAATTTAGTAATTTTTTTTTATATTTAAGACGTGTGATAAAAATAGTCACCACAAATGTGATAAAAACACGTAATTAAAAATCTACAAAAGTGATAAATTAATGACAAAGTGATAAATTTTTTAATTATAAAATGACTCAAAAAAACTATAAAAATATTATTTAAAATAATAAATTTTAAAGATGTGATTCCAAAATTTTTATACGGTACCCTAATCAAATCCCCATGTTGATGATCCGTAGGTGGATGAGTATGAAACCTCGAGTCAAGTCAACCTATTATTATTTAGACCTGAAATATCTATTTGTCTATAACTGGGAAAAAAAGGACGGTTCAAGGATTTAGTGAGAGGGACGGGCCGACCCAAAAATGTCTTGAATTATTCGACTATTCAAGATTTATTGTTTATACAAGATTATTAAACGATAACAAATTTTAAAGTGTTAAATCCAATACGACTTGACCTAGTCATATTAGTATGAATCAAAACATCCATCAATAATTAATGTTGTGATGCACCACCCTTATACTATTACTACCATATATATGTTATCCGAAATATTGTAACGCGTCCACAGATACTCTAAGTCTCCTTCGTCAATGTCACCTAGCTTGGTTTTGTTGCTTGAAAAGTATAGCTATGGCATGCGTAGACTTATAATCTCCTTATTGATAGTCATTACATTTAAAATGTGAAACACGTTTTGGGCTCCTAAACCTACACTAGAAATAAGTGATCTTAGCACAACTCATTCTAAAAGCTTGAGCAGCTTAATTATACCTGAGGGAGAAAGGGGAGAGACACCAAAAAACAATGGTGAGAACAATTTGCTCTGACAAAAATGGAATGAAGAAAGGTTCATGGAGCGAGGAAGAAGATAACAAGTTGAAAGCTTATATTCTTAGATATGGCCATTGGAACTGGCGTAAACTTCCCAAGTATGCAGGTAATGCACAACCTCTCTCTCTCTCTCTCTCAAGTTTCTGTTATTTGTTTCAATACTTTATGTATGATTTGTACATATGATCTTTAAGGATGGAGGATTCGTCTATCAGGTTTATCTAGATGTGGGAAGAGTTGCAGACTACGGTGGATGAATTACCTCAAGCCGAAAGTGAAACGAGGGAACTATAGCCAAGAAGAAGAGAATATCATCATGAAATTACATGATGAACTAGGAAATAAGTATGAACTGATTGTTCCTAACTTGATGATTTGCTTCATAACAACATGAGTAAAATGGCGTGCTAAAACCATGGATTGACAAATGATGTGTTATGATAAAGTAAATCTTGGTTTTCATTTTTCTTGTTATGTATCCGGAAGAGGGGTTTTTTTTTTTTCTTGGGGGGGGGAGGAACATGTCAAGTATGCTTCCAAGAACATGAGATTATACAATTTAGATTGAATCCGTACTCCTTCACTTACTATAACATTCTTCCGAATTGTGACAGTACATATGTTGCTTCTCATGTACAGATGGTCAGCAATGGCTGCAAAATTACCAGGAAGAACAGATAATGATATAAAAAACCACTGGCACACTCATCTGAAGAAACGTGCAAAGCAAAATGGAAAATTAAAAGAAACTAGTGAAAGTTCCCAATCCATTGGAACTTGCCAGTTTGAACTTGAAGACAGCCAACAGAGAGATGATCAAGAATGGGCACTTGACAGTGTTGTTGACATTGATCCATCCCAGCAAACTTCAGAAAGCTCCTTATTGCAGGCGGAAAGCTCCGATTATGCCTTCAACCATGCTATGAAGCAGAACATGGATGACAGTATCACTTCATCATCAGAAACATATCATGCGGATACAATTGAAACTTTCTGGAATCAACCATTTTTGTTAGAAAACGAGACCACTACAAATGATGTACGCGCATCCATTGTCGATCACGAGTTTCTCTCTCCAAATTCTCCTATTTATTGTGAGGAACTTCTATCTAGATATGGTTTTTATTATTGACCTATATATTAATGCCTAGAACTGGCAAACCTATAAATGTAAACAAAAATAACCAGACGCATAATCCTATGCTTTAATTTTATGCTTCAACTTGGTGGCCTTTCTGGTTGAAAAGGTCGGCCAAGCTTAGGGTGCTTCGTAACGAAATTACAAAGTTCCATTTACCATTGGACACCTTTGGTTTGTATATATATAATTGTAAATTATTTCAGCAAGAATGTTGCATCATAAGGGCCTGTTTGGTTTCTCTTGTGGTATTTTTTGGGTTCCTCCTTGTTAATTTGATGCTGATTATGCCCAGTTAATTGTACCAGACGAAAAATTAAGTGACAATTTTTTATGTAGGTAGTGTTTATGCTTACCCCTCGACTTGCGAGGAGTCTTGCTGCCTTGTTCGTGTTGTGATTTTATTTGCTAAGAGACAATTAGTTTTCCTAACCTCTTGAGAATAACCGAGATGTTAGAGGCGTTGTTATGTAGTCTAGGGATTGATAGAATGTTCAATATTGTGTCCTTGCGTATCTATACAAATTAGGTACGAAAATCTTGAGCTATGTTTTATTTCTACGTTTCTTCGCCAACAATTTTATATATTTTTGATGCCACAAACTTATATAAGCATGCAGGTAATTTTGTTGTTCATAAGTAGAACCGAACTTTGAAGTTATGTGTATCCTTCATGAAACGATTGTGTAAGAATGCGTTTGTTTATGTTTGCAGCAAATTCTCCCTTGCCCCTATATGTAACTCTAATCATCCCGACGGTTTCCAATATTTTCAATTAGGGCCTTAAATTAAACATATTGTTAACCTTTTATTTGTGTATATATAACTACTTTTTAATATGATCTCCAAAATATTGCTGGACTAACAGTTTTCTACACCACTCTACACCGTTAAGGTTTTACACATTTGTAAATAAGAAGTAAAAAAATCGTCGTTAAAATTTATATATATTGTGGCCTATGGAAATTAAATTTTCTTTTCAATCAATCTTGACCGTTATCTATTTCACCCCATGTTTAAAGTATTAGGGTAGTATGTGTAGTTTATTAATAGTGTTAGGGTATTATATGTAAACACAAGAGGGTGTATGTGTAATTTTTATTATTGTGAGTTAAATATAAATACAAGTGATGTATGAGAGTTAAGTTAAGTTTGAACCTCTCTCTATCTCTCCAATATTGTGTTAATTCTACACTTAACATGGTATTAAAGCAATTACGATTCTAAATAAATTAAAAAAAATTGAGGTTATTGAGTTTGGTTGTGGTGTTGTCGTCGAAGCTATCGTGGTGGTGGAAACCCTTGTGGTGGTCTCTGTGGACGTTGGTGGTTGTTGGGTTGTCTGGTGTAGTGGTATCATTCATGGTGGTGGTGTGATGCTGTTGTTATGGTGGCCTTTGTGGTTTTGACGTTTGTGGTGGTGTCGATTGTGGCACTGTTGATTGTGGGTTGTGGAGTTGTCGTTGTCGTCGATTGTGGCACTATTGTTTGTTGTCATGGAGGTGTTGTCGTTCATGGTGGTGGTGGTGGTGGTATGGTGTCGTTTGTTGTCGTGGTGTAGTTGTTAGGCGCTGTCATCGAAGACCAGGTGCAGGTTTTCTGAAACCCTAATTAACAAGGAAGACAACATCCAGACCCAACTCCATGGGTTTGGATACAAATCAGACCTGGTCCAGCCCATGGTCCAACCTAGACCGGTTCAATCTCGGTCCAGCCTAGACCAGTCCAATCCCAGTTTGATCCAGGTTCAAGTTTAATTGGTTCAGACCAGTTCTTTCAAGTGCTGCTCTAGTTTAGTGGTCTAGTTTGTTGCTTTAGTCTAGTTCAACTATTTTTTGCACCAGTTAAGCTCGGTTCAGTCAATCTTTATTCCAATTCAGTAGTCCAGCGAGCCTAATCAGCACGGTTCAATGGTCCAGTAAGCTCCTATGGTCCAGTTCAGTCTTCCAGCAACCTTTGCAGGTCCAGTTCTGTAGTCCAGAGACCTAAGCTAGTCCGGTTTAGCGGTCCAACTAGGTTCTTTAGCCCGGTTCAGTCTTCTAGCATCATCTTTTCTTCTGGTTTAGTATTGTAGCACTCCTTGTTTGTTATTTGCTGCATTGTTATGGAACCCAAGCAAGATGTTAGGTCCCTTACTCCATCTTTGCCACCTACCTCTACTCCTCCGACTCTTATCAATGGTCTCATGACCTCTGTTAAACTCAATGGGACCAATTATACTTTATGGTCCCAATCCGTTCAAGTCTTTTTTCGAGGCAAAAGATTTAAGAAATATTTGGTGAACCCTAAACCCAAGGAAGATACTCCTGGGTATGATCAATAGGAACAAGAGGACGTGTCAAAACATTTATTCACTATTGAATAACGTTGAGCCTAGTATTAGTTCTACTTTGCTCTATCTTGACACTGCCAAGGGGATATGGGATCACTTGGCCACTATGTATTATGATACAAGTAATTTTACCTGAGCTTATCAGATGTGCAAGGAGTACTTCCTGTTGGAACAGAGTACTCTGAGTATTGAGGATTATTACTCTCAAGTTCGGGGAGTCTGGAGGAGATGAAGACCTACCATCCATTTACTACTGACGCAGTAGTTTGGCAGAAGTAACATAAGGACGTGAATGTTGTTAGATTTTTGGTAGGATTGAAACCTGAATATGAGGCTATTCGTTCTCAGATTTTAGGTGGCTCTAATCTTCCGTCAGTACTTGGGATTTTCTCTCATGTACATCGTGCTACTTTGTCTACTTCAAGCATCAATTATGGTGTCCCCACTGATCGCTCAGCTCTTGTGGTTCCTAGTAGCTACAGTGATGGGCATCGAGGTGGTCGAGGAGGTCATACAGGAGGTCGTACGGGTGGTCATGGGGACTGTTGTAGACTTCATTCTTGTACTCACTGTGGCCATGGAGGGCATACTGTTGATTTACATGGAAAACCTTCTGATGCTGAGAATCAAGCTTCCTATCAGGATGACACCTCTGTTGTTGCTTCCATACCTCGATCAGTTCCACCAGACACTAGGTCGGTTACTATTACACGAGAGGAGTATGCTCAATTCCTGTCCCAGTAACAGGCTATCCTATCTCCCTCCACTGCTACTTTTCCCCAGTTAGGTTTTTCTTCCACTTGTTTATTGTCTTCTACTCGCAATCTCTAAATCATAAACTCTGGCGCTTCTGATCACATGATTGGTCCGTCTGATGTTTTTTCTACTTATCAGTCTGCTACTTCTACACGTAGTGTTACTCTTGCTAGTGGTACTTGTTTTAAAGTTTCAAGTCTGGGGACTATTCACTTAAGTCCTAATATGTCCCTATCTTCCATGTTATTTGTTCCTCAGTTTTCTTTTAGTTTACTTTTCATTAGTAAGATTACTTGTTCTCTCAATTGTTCTGTAACATTTTATTCCTCTTATGGTATCTTTCAGGATCTCAAGATACAGATAAAGATTGGTATGGGGCATGAAGTTGGTGGCCTATATCACTTTAATTTTGATTCACTTACTCGGGCTCTATAGACCTCGTTGTCTCTTTTTCAATGACATTGTCGTCTTGGACATCCCTCTCACTAGAATCTGAAGTGTCAAGTTCTCAGTCTTAGTTGTGTGTCGTATTTGTCTTGTGAAGCTTGTCAACTTAGTTAGCATCACCATGTGTCATTTCAGTCTAGAGTCAATAGTCATGTATCTAGTCCATTTGAGTTGGTACATTCTGATGTATGAGGTCCAATAAATAATATTTCATCTAATAAATATTCTTATTTTGTGTCATTTGTGGATGACTATTCTCGTGTGACTTGGTTGTTTCTGATGAAAACTCAGTCTGAATTATTCTCTATATTTGAGACATTTTGTAAGGAAATAAAAACTCAATATGATTGTCGTATACGTATTTTACGTTTTGATAATGCTCGAAAATATGAATCTGATCCTTTTTTAGCTTATCTTAGTAAAACTGACATTAGTCATCAGACTTCCTGTGCTTACACATATCCACAAAACGGTGTTTTTGAACGCAAGAATCGTCATTTGTTGGAAGTCACATGTGCCTTGTTATTCTAGATAAATATTCTCTGATATTTTTAGAGTGATGTTGTTCTTACTGCTTGTTACCTTATTAATCGTATGACATCCTCTGTGTTAAATGGGCAAAGTTCATATTCAGTTATCTTTTCTAGTAAACCCTTATTTTTCCTAACTCCTAAGATTTTTGGATGTGTATGTTATGTTCACAATTTGGATCCTGAGTTTGATAAAATTGACCCTCGAGCTACCAAATATATATTTCTTGGTTATTCCTGCACACAAAAGGGGTATCATTGCTACAATCTTTCTCTGCGACAATACTTTACTAGTGTCAATGTCACGTTTGAGGAATATGTTCCATATTTTTCAGTACCTGCTTAGCTTGTGGATCTAAACTTTGGGTCATCTCTTGTACCACAATCTCTTCCCTCATCTATAGATATTTTGCTGTCCACTGTGTTACTATCTACTTTATCTCTTCGTGTATACTCTTGTCGTCCTCAACCATCGACTGAGGTGTCTGTACCATCTTCCTTGTTGCCTTTTAATCCTGATCCATCAGGTAATTTAGACTCTTTATCTATTGCTCTTCGAAAAGGTACTCGTTCGTGTGTTACTAATCGTCTCATTGCTCATTTTGTTTCATATGATGTATTGCCCCCTGTCTTTTCTTGTTTTACCTCTTAAATATCTACTATTCTATTCCTAAGCATTTACAAGATCCCTTATCTGATCCGAGTTGGAGGAAAGCCATGGAGGATGAGATGGATATCTTACATCATAATGGAACTTGCGATTTTGTTCCTTTACCTCCTGAAAAATGAATTGTTAGTTGTCGTAGGGTGTATACTGTTAAATTTCATCCGGATGGTTCTGTGGAGCATCTCAAAACCCGACTTGTTTCAAAGGACTTTACTCAGACATATGGTGTTGATTATGAGGAGACTTTCTCTCCTGTTACCAAAATTTTCTCTGTTCGTATATTGATTTCTTTGGCTGCTAATCTTGATTGGTCCTTATTTTAGTCAGCCGTCAAGAATGCCTTTCTACATGGTGACTTGGTTGAAGAGGTATACATGGAGCAGCCACCTAGGTTTACTGCACA